AATGAACATTCTAATTACACTGGTGCTCACTCACATGTTAGGACACACACATGACATTCTTCAACAATATCATTAATTTCTGTAGATTTGAGCTTTGAGAATGAAAACCAACCTGTTTGTTCCTCAGTATCTTCTTGTTTCATGCTGAATGCTTCTTCAATCTTTATGTCTTCACTCTCCTCTTTAATAAACGCCATCTTTATAATAGTGTGTCACGTGGATCTCGGTTGCTTCAGCAGGAGTTTTTCTGTGTGTTTGGGGACACTGTCATGTTTAAGATGAGAACAATTAACAGAAAGAAAAAAATTAAAAATAAATCTAAAAATCTATTAAAGGGTTAGTTCACCCAAAAATGGAAATTGTCATTAATTACTCACCCTCATGTCGTTTCAAACCCGTAAGATCTCCGTTCATCTTCGGAACACAAATTAAGATATTTTTGATGAAATCTGAGACCTCTCTGACCCTCCCATAGACAGCAATGTAATTACCACGATCAACGTCCAGAAACATAGCAAGGAGATCTGTAAAATAATCCATGTGACATCAGCGGTTCAACCGTAATTTTACGAAGCTACGAGAATACTTTTTGTACGCAAAGAAAACAAAAATAATGACTTTATTCAACAATTTGTCTCCTCCACGTCACCCTGGTGCCATTTTGGAGAATATCCACTGAACGTAAACTGCGTATGCTATTCTGTGTCAGCTACGTCATGCGGATACGTTTTCTACGTTGCTTTAGATTTGAACGAAAACCGCGTGACGCAGCTGACACAGAATAGCATACGTTGTTTACGTTCAGTGGATATTCTCCAAAATGGCACCAGGGTGACGTGGAGGAGACAAATTGTTGAATAAAGTCATTATTTTTGTTTTCTTTGCATACAAAAAGTATTCTCGTAGCTTCGTAAAATTACGGTTGAACCCCTGATGTCACATGGATTATTTTACCGATGTCCTTACTACGTTTCTGGACCTTGATCGTGGTAATTACATGGCTGTCTATGAAATAAAAATATCTTAATTTATGAACGGAGGTCTTACGGGTTTGAAACGACATGAGGGTGAGTAATTAATGACAATTTTCATTTGTGGGTGAACTATCCCTTTAATGCATCTCAATTAGTTCCCTAGTTCAGTAGTCAGTGCACTGGTCAAGTAGTGTCAGGGTGATAGTTAATGATTTTAAATGGCCTTATTAGCCAAACTACAGACACTATTTAAGTTGTTATTTATATTCATTTTGATTAATTAAAACGTAATGAAAGCATTTGCATTTGGTTTGTAAAAGTTGTTACTCATGTTTGTGTTCTCGTTGCATTGTTATAACCAACAGTTTATTGGAGCGCCTGGAATGAGTGAATCATTTTGTGAAGCAATTCATTCAGATTCAGAATCAGAATGAGCTTTATTGCCAGGTGTGTTTACACATACGAGGAATTTGTTTTAGTGACAGAAGCTCCACAGTGCAACAGAATGACAGTGACAAGACACAGATAATAAAAAATGATATACAAAATCCATTCAGCTGTTTATAAACTTGTCTATATACCAATTCTCGATATGTGGAGTGAAATGAGATGCACCTTTTAATCTATTAATAAAGTGCTGATGCTCTTTATTCGTAACAACGTTTCTTAAAGTAAGCATTGCACTGCTACATTCAATAATAATTCATTTCACACAGTTTGTAAACGCTATGAAATTTAATTGGCATTTTAGGCACTGATATAATTACCTTACATGCTGCTGCTGCTTCTTCTTCTTTCTTTTAAGTGGCAAATCGCACCCTACACGCTTTAAAAACACAAACCTTTCTAAAGACGAATCAAAACAGACACCGGAGCGCGACGCAGCCTTATGACGTCACATTGCCAGACCAAAATAAAAGTCCTGGACACACGCTGCTGTCTGACAACACAGAAGTGCACAGAAATTTACATGCAAACACACACAAAACATGTCAGAGGTATTTATAATTGAATTATACATATTTAAATATATGTTGTACAATGCTGAAAATGACTACCAATGAAAAAGAATGTACTACATCTAAATATGTGAGATTCTGTTTAGGAGTTTAGAAGACTTTTTCAGTAATAAGACACTTTTTTTTTTTCATTGTTGTTTATATGCATTTTTCAAAAGTGCCAGAGTAGCAACTACCTAACAGGTTTGCTAATAAGGGCCACAGACAAACACAGGTAATATACAGACGTTGAAATATGTTTTATTAATTGTACAAAATTAATTGTGGCTGTCTGTGTAGCTTCTTCAATTTATACTATTTACTCATTAAAAAATGTATTATGGAGGAGTTACTTTTAATTCCTATTTTTTTTTATTGTTGATTAACAAGTAATTATGTCACTTGTGTATTACAGTTATATTAACATTAATATCAACTGTATTACTAATCTGAGTGCTAGATGTCACTATTAATCACTTTACTTCTAGCAGCAGTCATTGTCACATATAATTCAAATAAATGACATTGCAGTCATCAAACACTTAATTGCACTGTCCATGAACCGGCTGTGAAATACCCAGCAAATGTATTTGAAATGAGCATTTCATGTCTTCTAATTTTAAAAGAGTATGGACTGGGGCGGGATATTCTATTTTCTAGTATGTTTGAATGGCTTTTATCTTTATAAAAACTGGAAAGGTGACTATCCTGCCCCTGTAGAGGAGTTAAACAACCTGCAGACACCGAGTCTGTGAAAACACTTCCTGTACTGTATCTATACTGCAGCACTTAAGAGATTCTGAAGGACTTGGCTGATCTCAGGGCATCCCATCCAGAAGTGCCAGTGGCCTCTGAATCTAAAAGAGGCTGAGATCCAAACAGTGCTGACCAAGAATCTTCCTGACACTTTTGAGGACAAATGTGAGAAGGAGGTCTGAAAGCAAATCAGAAAACAGCTATAACCCTGTTGAAAAAAACAGCATATGCTGGTTAGGTATGTTTTGACGCTGGGATGCTGGTTTAAGCTGGCCCTTTGCTAGTTTATGCTGGTTTAAGATGGTCCTTTGCTGGTTTATGCTGGTCCTTTTGCTGGTTTATTTAAACCAGCAAAGGACCAGCATAAACCATTGCTGGACCAGCTTAAACCAGCAAAGGACCAGCTTAAACCAGCAAAAGGACCAGCATAAACCAGCATCCCAGCGTCAAAACATACCTAACCAGCATATGCTGGTTTTTTCAACAGGGAAGATAAAGTGACTGACCTGAATATGAATTGGTAACACTTTATTAAGGTTCCCTTTACGAAGGGTTTATAAAGGTGTTCATTATTTACTAATAACACATTTAGAATCGCATTGAAAATCATTAACTTTAACAATTTATGAAAAATTCTGACATTATCTGCCAAATAGTGCACGTTGTAAATGCTTAATAAATACCCATACTTTCGAATCTGAATCAAAACCATTTTCATGACAGCAAAAAATAGATTATTATAGTGCCATAGCAGGCGTTTAGGCTGTAATGTCTCAATTTGCTTTAAGGTTCACAGGTATTTACTTTGCACTAACTTACAGAGGTAAGATATATATAACTTGTGAACAAATGGTTCACTGGTGTCCACCCAAGATTAGGTTTAAATGTAAATAATATTGAAATTAAATTATTCATTAATAATATCTTATGAATAAAGAGGTTGTGGTCACCTTTTTTGCGTCAGTCTTTGTCTTTAGAGGACAATGGGTACGACATGGTAAGAAAAGTGACATGAGATATTAATAAACTCATTAATGACAAAGGAGACCTTAAAGGGGTCATATGATGCGATTTCAATTTTTCCTTTCTCTTTGGAGTGTTACAAGCTCTTGGTGCATAAAGAAGAGCTGTAAAGTTGCAAAGACTAAAGTCTCAAATCCAAAGAGATATTCTTTATAAAAGTTAAGAGTCAGCCACGCCTACCTAAAACGGCTCGTTCTATCACGCCCCCACATACCTACGTCACTATTTGGGCGGCGTTATGCAACTCTTCCCACATCTTCACGCAAAGAAAGAAGGCGTAACTTTTATTCTCGCTGTAGTATTGTTGTTGCCGCCGCCGCCATGTCGTGAAGACGCTGTGTGCTTCGTTGTGAAAGTGAAACTACTTTGTTTGGCCTTCCAAAAGAGGACGATATCTGCTTCGTCATGCCTGGAGCTGATCCGTGCTGGTCGCAGAGGAACTACTTAAACTTCGCACTGTTGATCGCCGGATCGGCTTTCGCCGTGAACGAAGCGGAGTCCAGCCCGGGGTCGTCACATGTGGTTGCTGCAGGCATCACAATATGGTAAGGGACGTAACATTTCCGCCACACGCTTGAGGAATTCGGCCAATCATAACGCACTGGATAGCTGGCCAATCAGAGCACACCTCGCTTTTTCAGACCGATGAGCTTTGTAAAAATCGACACGTTTCAGAAAGGCGGGGCATAGAGGAGAAACAATAATGTACAGTATGTGGAAAATAATGTGTTTTTTTAACCTTAAACCACATAAACACATTTCATTACACCAAATACACAAAATAATGTTCTTTTTAGCAACATCATATGACCCCTTTAATGAAAAGTGTTCGATCAGTTGAATCAGTAGTTTTATACAGGTAGATTGCTATTTTTTTAATTTATTTTTTCATTTCTTCAACAGGACACAAAAAAGCAGACAGAGTTGAATTATCAAATTACAGTTGCTGTTCATGTATTACCACCAAATTTAAAGTCAACAGACACTTCAGGTAAAAGAAATTGTGCCAGATGAAATTTTCTTTTTTTCTGTTCTTGTTGTTCCTCTTTGCTTCAGTGATTCTGCTTGATTCTGCCTTGCCCACAATTAATGGTCTTTTTTTCTGAGGTGTATAGTAAATAGTTATAAAAAATAATAACATAGTTGTGAAATGATTGCATAACCAACTTTTTTTATTAGACTGATATATTACTGTATTGTCTTATATTGTGATTTGAGACAATGTGTGGACAGGACTTTTATTTTGGTGTGGCGATGTGACGTCACACGGCGGCGCCACGCTCCTGCCTATTTGATGCGGCTGAAGTAAGGTCTGTGTCTTTAAGCTTTTAAAGTGTTTACATCGAAACAAAACAAAGCACTCTTTAGGGGTTTTTTTTACAAGCGGTGTAAAATAAATAAATTATTATTAAATTGTAACATTGTAATGCTTTATATAGCATTAATAAACGTTTGTTTATTTATTTATTGTTGTTTTATTTTGTGTGAGTAACAGAAAAGGTGCGTCTCATTTCGCTCCCCATATCGCGATTCTGTTAATCGTGAACGGCATTCGTAGTGTGTTCACTGGCAAGTAGTGATGGAGAAACGGAGCTTTTTGAAACTTCGAGTCATTTGAATCAATTGCTTCATAAAATGATTCACTGACTAGAACAGATGGAATCACCACATAAACACAGTTATTGTAAGGACAACTTTTACAAACTACCTTAAAATGTTTTCATTTAACTTAATGTAATCTTTTAAATGTAATATACAAATCAATGAAGTATAAATCACAATATGAAGTGAAGTGATTTGAGTTCTTTTATTAATTTGTTATGCTATTTTTGAGTGTTTTTGGCTAATCAGGCCATTAACTATTACTCTGACTAGCTCATTTGCCAGTGCGCTGACTACTGAACTAAGGAGCTGATTTGAGACACACCCAGAGTTTTAGACTGGATTTTCCCCCTTCTTTCTGTTAATTATTCTCATCTTATTTTTTTCTTGTTAATTATTCTCATCTTAAACATGATAAATTGTCCAAACACACAGAAAAACTCCTGGTGGAAGCAAAGAGCCACGTGACACATTATTATAAAGATGGTGTTTATTAAAGAGGAGAGTGAAGACATGAAGATTGAAGAAACGTTCAGAGTCAAACAAGAAGATACTGAGGAACAAACAGGTTGGTTTCTGTTCCCAAAGCTGAACTCACTCATTTGAGTTCAGCTGAAGTCATTTGATCCTTAATAAAATAGTGACCTCTATAGAAATTAATGATATTTTTGAAGAATGGTGGACTGAATAAAAACACCTGTTTGCCTTTTACTCCTGGAAGTTAAAAAAAAAAAGAAATAAATCGGGGTCAAAAACATATTAATGAGCATAAAAAACGTAATGGACTACTTGCACAACTATTTCCGTGTTCTACTTATTACAGCTCCGGAGTTTCTGGTCAGCGTTTAGCGTACATACATACAGACCGATTTTAATAAGAGCACAGATTATTACTACGTTTTATGGCTGGCAATTAAAAAAAAAAAAAAAAAGCAATTGATAATATTCTCTGCATTAACATAAATTATCTTCTACCTTCCAAACGTGCATCATTAATAATAAATATATTTACCCAATGTCGAGGTCCAGCGCTTGTCTTCTCATTAACAGTATTCTTCTCATACTGATTATTTCATACCTGTTGAATTTACAGTTTGATAAACACCCTTACGAAAATTAACCATGGTTTTACTATGGTAAAAATGTAGTAGTGTAGTGTAGTTTTTTTGCGGATTACCATTATTTGTATATTTGTACCATACGTTTACTACAAATACCATGGTTAAACTATGGTTAGTTTAGCAAAACTCTTTAATTTGTGGTTACTATGGTTTAACTACAATTTTTGGGTTTTATTTGTTGTAAAACCATGGTTAATTTTCGTAAGAGTGTATTGCTTGTGTGCTTTGAATGTCCGCTATAACTGCAATAAAGAAATGTTATGATGTTGAACATTTAATTAATTTTACACAGTAACGCGTTGACAGTTGCGGGTACTTTGAATATTCATATTTTGAATATTCATATATTCATATTTATTGTATAGAGTGAAATGATGGTGAATGAAAACATATTTAATACAGGCAAAGAAAGGTTCATTCTGATCTTATTTATCAGATCTCACACAAACTGCAGCATCGCAATTCTAGTTTAGAGCACTGACCCCTGGTTTTGAAGCAATCACGTATAATTAGCAGCCACCGCTTTCTCAGATCGGCAAATGTTGGATTAAAACTTAAAGTTCTGTCAAGTTTGGAAAACTCTGTACACAGTAATCATCAGAATATCTCTTCTACTGACTCTGAAGTGTCCGTATTTTGAAATCATCCCGCGGACTCTCATTTTTTAATAAGCGTTTAAGTCACAACAAGATGATTACAGCATATTGAAAATATACCTAACTGGAAATAACCGGGCAGTATTATTTCAAAATGAAAGTGCGTCATGAGGCTCAGTGCAAGTCGTCCATTAGCAGTAAATATGATTGGAATTAAGTGATAAATAAGTCATATGTTTAAAATAACAGGGGGAAAACATGTTTATTTATTTGTTTGTGCACTGTCACAGCTTGGTAGAATTACTGTATGTTGTCTACATTTTTTCTTCATTTAAGAAGAAAATTTATTCATTTTGGTGAGCCATTAAAATGGCCAGTTGCCAATAATTTTATGATGAACTGCAACATGATAGATGATTTAAATTTTGAGCAACCCAATCAGTTTCAAATCAAAACACAAATTGTGCACTAGAGAAAGCATCTGTTGTGAATAATGTTTCTCATCCCGAACTCCCTGTAGTAGCGCTTGTGAGATTTTCTGCACATTAAGACCCACGATGTGAGGAACACCCCCACCCCCAATATAATTATTCCATAATATAGTTCCATGTCAACTCAATCAGAGATCCCCTGCTCAAATTTTTGATTTTGTCAATATTTTTTTCTAAAGAAAGATGAACATGTATAGTGATGAAAACCAAATGTGGGTCATACAGATGCTTACAGATGATACTTTTTTGTCTGAAGAACAAATAGTGTTGAAGCTGGAAATGTATCTTGTTTTCCTCTATCAAAACAATTGCATAGAACATACCTGTCTGAATGCCATAAAGATTATTTTTTCCAAAGTTTGCATGGCTTTAATACCTTTTAATATCATTTTAAATTCTGGTTCTTAATAAACATTTCTTTTATAATCTTCATTTTTAAGGCCCTGTATGTTCAGTCCCAGAGATATGGGGATGTCAGTGTGGCTCCATATCCAGTTTGCTGAATAATACCCACATTCAGGGATCAAAAACCAAATGTTGGTCACTTTGTATATAGCTGATATTTATTGTATTTAAAGGGGAATGTCTGAAGAATGAAGTTGAAACTAGAAATATATCTTGTTTCCGTCTATCAGAACAATTGCATAGCCTGAAACATAAAATGAGATTACCCAGGATCCCATTTAATCAGGGTTTGGAATTACCCAGGGTTAACTATTTTGTGTGAAAGCCCTTTTCAATCAGTTGTTTCAATCAGTGATTTCACCAAACACGCCTCTTAGCACTGGATACTACTTGATCTATGACTATGCTTCACATGTTATAAAAGTTTTTAAAAATTCTAATACTTAATCCATGTGGGGCAAATCTTGGTTTATTGATGTAAGAACAATGTGTGAGGAGAGCAACCACATTTCCCTATGAGGCATGGGATTTGTTTCAAACGTAGTTATGCATATTTGAGCTATTGGTAGCTTCAGGAGCTTTTAAAATGAACAAAATGCCTACTTACAAATATCCTTGACTGATGCATATATAGAATCTTATGAATAGACTACTCAGAGCAAGTTAATATGCCTCGACTTGACTATTTCAGTGCATTTTTAGCACTCAGATGAGTATGTTCTATACAATAGTTTTTATAGAGCAGAACAAGCTACAATTATAGTTTTAACATTATTTATTCTTCAGACATTTCCCTTTTAATACAATAAATATCAGCTTTATACAAACATTTGGTTTTCAAACATTGAAAATGGGTAATATTCAACATCTGGACATGGAGCCGCATGGAGGGTCTTAGGGACTGTTCAATGAAGATTCCAGAAAAGAAAAAGTATTAAGAATCAGAATCCAAAATCATATTGAGACGTTCTCTTGAATAAATATTGAATTCTAGGCATGCAAACTTTGGAAAAAGATTATTTATGGCATTCAGGCTGGTATGTTCTATGCAATTGCTTTGAAACAAGCTACATTTATAGTTTCAACATTATTTATTCTTCAGACATTTCTCTTCAAGGGGTCCCATTATGCTTTTTCACTTTTTCAACTTTAGTTAGTCTGTAATGTTGCTGTTTGAGCATAAAAAAGATCTGCGAAGTTACAAAGCTCAAAGTCTAATTCAAAAGGAGATATTTTATTTAACAGAAATCACTTTTCAAAAACTACAACGAACGACTCGTTTGGACTACAACGCATATTTTCCGGGATTTGTGATATCACAAATATCGACGAATGGGACGAGACCTGGTTAAGCTGCACTAGAGATGGCAACGAGTGTTATCACTATGTCTGAGACACGCTAGCTTTCCCAAGGCAGACGAACTTAGAGTGGTTACAATCATCCGGGTTTAAATCGCTCTGATAAACCGTATATTGCCGTAGTCGTGAGTTTATTAGTCACGTTGAATCAATGAAAGCAGTTGAATCTTCTGTTTATTCAGCTGCAGCGATTTCCTGGGTTTTTTCTGCGAGACATATTTGGAGTTTCAGCGCGAGAGCACCCTCTGGCCTTCGGCTGGAGATTTACTGCTGATCACAGAACCGTGCTTCACTGAAAGATACGCATGACAATCGCAGCTTCTG